AGCTTTTAGCATTTATTACAAAAATGCTCCTGATTGCAAAACATGTGTCTAAATCCCAAATGGGACAAGAGGTGGGAAAGGGCTAGGGCATCCTATTTACTTCTTGATCCGGATTGTTAAATTAAGTAATCAATCAATTAATTATTTAGTTAGTTCGTTTATTATTTTATTCGTACACTAGAGAACAAACTAAGTTCAAACCATCACTATAGAATAGCAATGGATCGATAATAAATTGACGACACTGCGTTCCCATTTAGAATGTGGCCAAGACAAAAAAACTTTGAACAAATCACAATCTTCCAATGACCACACATTGACCAGATTAAGATTCTCTGACTTTCGCTTCCTAAAACATCCTGCAAACAGTACATTCACGTTTCGCCACAATCACATTGGCTCATAGACCCGTCGTAGCGAGGTGACCGTGCAGCGATGTCCGAGTGGTTAAGGAGTTGGACTTGAAATCCAATGGGCATTGCCCGCGTAGGTTCGAACCCTGCTCGCTGCGAAGCTTTTGCATTTTTGCTGTTTTCACGGAAACAGCTTAAATTTGACGTCGAAGTTGCATTTGAGCCATTACTGAACAGTTTTTATAATTACCGCCGATAAATGCTGGTTCGAACGTTCATCATCCCGTTCATCATCATCATATCGCCTTTAAAACCTTGTGGTGTGATTTTTACCTATAAAATTTTCAAGTGCATGATGAAACATATCCAAAGTGAGCGAAAATTAAAAAAACTGCATGAATAGATGAACTCTGAACGAAACGAGAATTTCAACGCATCTTTTAGTAGGTCTTATATGAGGGATCGTTTCACTTTTCGAGAACATTTGGGGACTTTTACAGATTTAGCCATTAGTCAATATTGGATTTCGGAACGAAATTATGCTAATTAGAAAGATGAGCCTGTGAATCCTCCAATTTTCGTCCAGATTATGGTCTTTGAAAAGTGAAGGAGTGAAAAACGAGTGTACATCATTAAAATTTTTCCCACAGTTCTTCTCAAAATCGATTACTTCCAAAATTTCAACAGCAAAATTTATATACCCTAAAATCCCATAGATAAGAGCGGTTTAATTTACCGGTGAGAAATGAATTGGAATGAAATTGAATGCAGTCACCCCTCTAACTTGATGGATGGATAAATAAAATCGGAGAAGAAGTTTAGAAGAAGCTCCGCCTCTCAACACTCAAACCCCGCCCACTTGGATAAACAATTCATATAGAAAAATAGCGATTTTAACGGAATTTCTGCCGGAATCTCTCTAGAAATGCCGGAATTTGATCTCTGGATAGAACTTGAAGAGCCCATTCGATCAGTAAAATTCCATAGATAAGAGCGGTTTAATTTACCGGTAAAAAATGATTTTGAAAAAACATTTTTAAAATTTTATTTCACAACAATTCATTTCAAAACACATTTCACAACAAAACATTTCACAATATCAACAAACAAGGACTCCAACCATTAAACATTAACACTAAACTTATAAAGGTAGAGTTGTAGGCTATTATTGCGATAATCATGAGCACACAACGCCAAAACGTATACAAACGTCAATTTTCATTTTCTAGTACAAACCGCTCTTATCTATGGGATTTTAGGGTACTTTTTTATGTCTAATTAGATAAAAAAAATTTGGCTTTTTTTATTTTTTTGTTAATTTTTTCTAGCTTCATAACAAAGGCATAAGGAGCCACTGCAACGACCTACTAGCCGAGCTTACTTGCTAGATGCTGAAAAAAAACTAAACTCAAATAATCATGGTAATTATATCAATGATAGCAATAATAATAATAATAATAATAATAATGATTGTAGATACAATGCATATATATTTGTTATTGTTACACTCTCACAATGTTCACTTACTCTTTGACTTACTGTTGTTATTCCTTCTCGTTGTTGCCTTAGCTCACTATTGCGAAACACTCTGAAGCTCACTTGGTACTGTATCTCTCACACGACCTCATGGTACTCACGTGCTCACCAGTATATAAGGCGGCTCCAGCCGCCTGATCTCAGTCTATTCTACCCTATCTGTCCTCTACTCTTGCCGAATAAAGCTTCCATCGGACAGTGTTCGACTACACACCCCCCTAGACACGAAGACGCCGCGCCCCGGACATAGGGGCCGAACCGAAGGAAGCTCGACAGTTGGACAGCCGCCAAAAGCCGGAATACCGGAAGGCGAGTACTGCCAAGTACCTGCCACCTATAGAATTCAGAGAACCAGAGAGAGGCTACCTCGAGGGCAACCTCGACGTAATCGATCGAAGTCCATATCGATTGACTATAGCCAGCCTCGTACAGGGTGCCAATAGGATTTCGCAACACTCGTCTGTACAGTTGTCAATACAGACTCGTACCTTCGATCCTATTGATTTCTTGCTATAGTCTTCAACATCCTGTTGTGGTTCATTTCGCAATATTCGTCTGCGCCGTAAAAAAGCAGATCTGATCTTAGCGATACAGTAATCACAACTATTTCAGAACAGATATGAGCGACGACGACATGCCTATGGACGCAGATACTGAGCGTCTATTGCAGGCGGAACATGACGACAGCTGTATGCGCGAATTAGCACACCTGCTGGATGTGGACACAATGCAAGTGGTAGATAAAGTATCGGAGCTTGTAAAAACAGTCTCGAGAAAAAATATGACAGAAAATGCAGTAAAACCACTTGTTTTAGACAGTTCAGTTCAGGTTCCACAGCAGAGCGCGGTGTCGTCAAGCGCGGTTCCGAACCCCGCGGCAATCGAACAACTGAACCGGTTCGAGTTCGAACCCGTGGACTATCACGCTACCTTTGATCCAATCGCAGCCGCGCAAGGTAAGCAGTGTGTTCCACGTAGTTCGTCTCGAGGCAGTGGCAGAGAGCCGCCCACATGTCTAAATGAAATAATTGTTCAGCTCGAAAAGACGAACAAGCAGCAGCAGAAGCAGAAGGAGTCCCCTTGGACAATCCCGACACCAGGGCACCAAGGTGAGTATACTGAGTTTCCGTTGGGTTCTGCACAAAGGGGTTGAAATGGCTCGCATGTTCGCTGCGCTGACCCTGCCCGACGTGAGTGTGTATGATGACCCGAACGGGAAAGATTTCGGGGACTTTCTTGCCCAATTTAAGTTAAAGTATCAAGGGCTTGCACTCGATAATGACATGCTTGTGCATTTGTTATTTTCGAAATTGGATGGTTTTCCTCGGTCCGTGGCAGATGCTTTGCCCAGATCTGTAAAACAAGCAGGATTTAAAGCTATAGTTGAGGCGATAAATCAAAAAAAAAAACGAATCTTCCGCATA